AAGTAATACCAATTACTGAACATTTTGCCATAAATATTGATAATTTGGGCCAAGCATCTAAAGAAAGGAAATTTATACTCATTTTTTACTGATAAATGCACAACATAAAGATTGCTTCATAAATTTACGAAAAAAGGACTTCATGGACAATACGAACAAACGATTGTAATCACGTAATAATACTTGCAAGCAATCACATCAAGAAAGGAAAAGAAACACACAGCATACATTTATACAATTACATTTAGAAATTAAGATACATGCATTCAAAGTAGATGATTGATCCAATGGAGATTGTCAAAATGAAAGAAAATTTTGGCAAAAGTCCTTTTATGAAAAGCAAGAAAAGATTCTACAAAATGGAGGGAGCTTATATTAAATTCAAAAGTTGGCATTTTTTAAGTAAACGTGCTTTCTTGGGATATTGATCGCAAATATTCCCATTTTGGCACAATTTTTTTTTATGAGGAAGAATCAGTCCTGGTTTTTAAAGAATATCTATAAATCTAATTTAATTTTGAAAATTTTGTTGGTGTTGTTCTCTCAAATCTCTGGTTAGGTCTGAAAATACATGTGTAAATCATTTATAGGAAAATCTTGACTCTCTTTTGGTACTTTCACAGTTCACAAAATACATCACTCATTTAGCACTTGAAAAGTGGGAAGAATAAAGGATGTAATTTTTGGCTCTTTCTACACGTATATGGTACTACAATAAGGCAAGTCTGATCAAGAATAAAAAAATTCAAAATAAATAAATTCCACAAGAACTATATTCTACTTCCAGAAGTGAAAACACAAGTTCATGTTAATGCAAATACACTGCGTGATTCAATTTGTCTGAAGTCAGATGAAATCTGGGTGTTTAGCATGAGTATAGCTATCACAGGCATAGTCACTAGGTACATGTGTGCACTAACACATATTGAAACAAATCACATACAAGCAATATGACATCATGTTAAACAAACAAAAAGAAAATGGAACAGTCGCATTCTTGACTACACTTTGGCAAATTTTCTGGACAAACGATAGCATTTCTATGCTTCTGAAGTACATTGAACCTATCTATTGGGAATATCCAAGCACATTTCAATATTATGATCTGAATAATTTATCAAAAATGACATGGGAGTATGGCTAACCCTGTAAACGATCATCGGATCGGCCGCCGATACCGATCCGATCAGGGGTGATCGGCGAAAAATTTCCGATCGCCGATCAATTGAAATGATCGGAAAAAAATCGGCAATTTTTTTTTTTTTTTTTTTTTTAAATGACGAAATTTTTCAAGTTTTTGGCTATCAAATGCTCAAAAAAAGTTCATGGCTGGGATTATTTTGTCATTTGGAGTTGTTGTAGACCATGTTTGTTGATATTTAGTGCCTTTTCATGACTTTGAAATTAATAATATTGGTCTAAGAGCAGAGGCAAAACATGCGGGCCGCCATCTTGGATTATAATGCATAGAGGTCTACCTACATTATAATTCAAGATATGGCGGCCTGCATGTTTTGCCTCTGCTCTTAGATCTAGACCAATATTATTAATTTCAAAGTCATGAAAAGGCACTAAATATCAACAAACATGGTCTACAACAACTCCAAATGACAAAATAATCCCAGCCATGAACTTTTTTTGAGCATTTGATAGCCAAAAACTTAAAAGTTTTCGTCATTAAAAAAAAAAAAAAAACCTACATTATAATCCAAGATGGCGGCCCGCATGTTTTGCCTCTGCTCTTAGACCAATATTTTTAATTTCAAAGTCATGAAAAGGCACAAAATATCAACAAACATGGTCTACAACAACTTCAAATGACAAAATAATCCCAGCCATGAACTTTTTTTGAGCATTTGATAGCCAAAAACTTGAAAAATTTCGTCATTAAAAAAAAAAAAAAAAAAAAAAAAAAAAAAAAAAAAAATCGGCCGATTTTTTTTGTCGCTCTTCCGATCCGATACCGATCAAAGGTGCGAGGGTGTCGCTCCGATCTTCCGATCCGATCAGAGCCCCAACTTACAGGGTTAAGTATGGCTATTACAATGGCTTACTGTCTATGTTGAAATAGACGTGATTATATAAAATACTTTGATAATCAGTATGCCCTATAAATGTATCACACACAAGTTTATATCAAAGTACATTAGGGACACTATGCAACCGTCTGTATAACAATGCAAATCTTACACAATTCAATATTTGACAAACGTTACAGAAACTATCCATATACATTTTTCTTTTTACAGCCAACTATGTCATTAAGCAGGTAGTATTAAACAATAAAACTTGTCTATACAGCTCTACCATACTTCTCCATACATGTTAGGAATTAAAGAAGAAAGTCTGGAGTTCTGCTCAGAGTTTGAGAAAAACAAAAAAATTAAAATGATAAGACCCTACAAAAAGAAATTGAAATGATTTCATTTGACTTTTTAGAGTTGTTATGCACATTCTTTCCCCATAACATGCACCAAGGTGCAAGGAGAGAAGAGGACACAAAATATTGTTTCACAAAGAAAAAAGAAGGCAGTAAGTAGGAAAGATTTAAAGGTGTACTGCAAACACCCCCCCCCCCCCTCCTAGCAAAATGTTGAGACGTTGCTGTATTTATTCTGAACTCAAATTTTAATATGTATAGCATGGACTTAAGGACATTAACCTATCGTAAAGATGACCTCATCAACTCAAAAACATATTTTCACTGATTTAGCTAACATAGAATATCTCCACTTGCAAATCTTACAGAATTAGCAATAACAAAAAACATTTCATTAAACATACATTCATATACTTATTCAATATGAAAGGATACACACATACAGAAGTCTTCTGTTTTTATTCAAAGATATAAAAATCTGAAAGGAACAAGAAATAGATAGCAGATAACTTTGACATGTAACTGAAAGTAAATAGACAAATGTTTTATTTTCATATTTTCAGGAAGCTGCAGGATAATTTTATTCCAGGCAATATAGGTCATTACATGCTATAATTTGAATACTCTTTTATTTTTCTCTCTGGTAAACTTTTAAGTGTGACACACCTCTACAAGTTTTGAAATCAATATTCTTTTATCCTGATAGAAACTGTATTTGATTTGATTATATCCTGGTTAATTCCATCACAATCTTCTGTTCAGCTATGTACAGTACATTACATTCCTGTGTCGTCATACCAGGAGAAAGCTTACTTCATTTACAACAACTCCTTCTTTCAATCACTTTCTTATGTCCCAGTACTTACATAAAAATTACTACAAGGAAAGTTACAAAGCTCTAAAATATTTTGAATTATTTATAGTTTACACAAACTCATATGAATCTCTGGGTGGGCATAAATTGCTTTGTAGAAAATGCAACACTTCTATCATTCTTCACAACTGATTAATTATCTTCTTTTATTCACATGTTAGCAGAAGTCTATTCCTAAACATTTTTTTCTTCTTCACACTGACATACAGATCTGAAAATGAGATACAATTTTACAACCCATCAAGGATTTTAACACTTTATATTAGCCAACACTTTAATTTCCATTAAAATCTGTTAAATACTTTGATATGCGAAGACAAAAGGGTTCGTAATCCAATTTCATTTATATCGTTGCTACTTTTCAAACTCGTAGACTATTCTGAAAGATCTTTCCTTGCTTTTCAAATTCATTGCAAAGATCTTATTTATTTATAACATTAAAGAAAAGATTAGCACTTGCAGTAAATGGTGAAACTATGAGTTAGCTATTTACAGGCGTAACTACAATGCGCTCTCTACGATACTTCTCAATGTCCTATCATGAATCAAACATGTATGCTTAATACTAAATTGTTTTTCTTTCAAAAGAATCAAATACAAAAGTTCATCATGCTAACCAAGAAAAAACTAATCATACATTCCTTGAAGACCTAATTTAAGACCTCCATCAACCTATCAAAACATGCTCCCTAAACTGCTAAATAAACTACAGGACAAGTTATCTCTCTGTGTGGAGCCAGAAGGGCGCTAACTCAGACATTCAACCGAGTCGGAGAGTTAATGCCCTTCTGGCTGTAAACAGAAGATTTAGAAAGGTAGGCATACCAGACATGTTGATAGATTAATAGATGCTATGTTATACAGAGGCAGACAGAGATGACCTGTCTTGTTTGCTAGTGGTCAAAACTGAGAGTAAGTTTTTATCAAAGATTCTAATTCTTTAAACCTTCCTATTAGATCAATATTGATGGTTTCTACTTGCGCATCACTATTTGATGATTGTAATGGGGGTAGATAGACATTTGACCCCATTTCATTCTTGTCTGCATCATCACCTGCTGCCACGGGGCATTCCAACCCAGTTTAGTTTGGAAGCAGCTGCTACAGGGATTATATGTCATGGTTCAACATAACCTGGACTACAAACAAAGATGGTTGCATTTCCAAAGATTTTATATTTCTTTTGATTGCTAAACTGACTATTTTGTATTACTTTTTCTGGCTACGATCCAACCTTTTTATGATGACAAACCAATCCTAGACTTACTATTCCACAAGTTTGGTAAGAACAACGACTTTTGCACCATTTACGTTACTGTTTTGGTAATTGCTACTTGGAGAATGTAATGGGTATGTGACTAGGGTTAAATCCTCAACATAATCTACAAGATTAGAACCGTTACTTATAAAATAATAACAATTTCAAATAATAAGCATTCTTTGCCACAATACAAGCTTGAGTAATACATATCATACCATCCATCCCATAAATGTTTTGCACATTACTTGGTTTAAATTGGCTGAAAATATGATCAATTGTGAGTACTCCTAGCCATGGCAATGAGGACTATTTCACCAAACCATGCTTTAAAAGCTGGCCATCAGAGTTCTAACTATTTGTATGCATCCTTGAGTAATGACAGTCATTTCAAATTCTGGGTAACATGTCATGAAGTAACTTCTGTGTTGATCCTAATACACAGCTTCCACAATCTGCTTTACCTGATTAAAATGATTTTTTTTTTTAATGCAACAGATACTGTCAGCTAGTTTAAGCAAAACATTACATCTCAAACCCAAGTTTTCTTTAAACAGTATTTGAGGTAAAGCAAAGTAGACAAAAGTTCATGAAATCACTACTTTCAGAGCATTCATTAGTAAGACCGTTTTACAAAGATCTTTGCAAACCCACTCAGTCACAGTGCACTCAAGTGCGCATATCTGTTGGCTACTCCCAAAACTGAAACGAAAATAAAACATTATAAAAGTATAAACTGCACCCCATCTTTTCCTTGATGATACAACCAATACCAAGCTATTCCAATCTACAAAAGAAAGAAAGAAAAACTGAATGACTTTCTACATAGATCACACAAAAATCAACCTGATTTAGAACAAACTTCTTCATCTACATTCACAATGTTAGTTCCAATAACATGCAAATTCACCATATTTCATCTCCTCTTTGCTCTATACTCCAATCACAAATGTTCTAATATACATCATTCTCAATCCCATCACTACAAGAAGATTTTACAAAGTAAATGCAAAAGAATATCAACTTCAATCCTCATTATCTCTGCAAACTCTTTTCAATGACTCTTCATGTACACAATACAACTACCAGTATTTTCTCAAAACTCAAAAATATATATATTGTTCCCTTGTACCAACCATTCGTTTTCAACACAACTTAAAAATTGCTTGTTGAAAACATAATCCAATAAAACAAACACACTCAATGACTATCATAAACCATTCGATGACAAATACATATCGGTAATATCGATATCATACACTGCAACCCAACGTTTGTCTTTTGCTTTGGTAAATAATGCATACTCCTGACAGCTTCTGGGTCTATCTCCTACCAACTTTTCATTAATAACTGCTAGGTGTCACTGCACCATCAAGTATTATACAGACCAGACAGTTTAGATACAATTTTCTCCACTACATTGTCCTACATAGCGACTTTCTTTTATTATATTCTTGCTCATTTTCTATGATGTAATTTGGTGAATAATAGCAGCCAATTTAAAGAGCATCTCTATATTTACCCTTTTGGTTTGTTTTTGTTTTTAATTTTGAATACTGAATACTGGTACTGCAACTCCAATGCCAAGAATCCTAAGGGATGACATGAAATTTTCCATCAATGTTTCCAACTATTCATCCTTTTCTATGGATATACACATCTCTAGAAACTTTGCTTTGTGTCAATATGCTAACTCAATTTGCAAAAATAGCAAAAAGACAAACTTCTGTATAGATTGAGTGATATTGTGACAAAATCCAAAGAAAAGCACATTGAGTAAACGAAATGACCCAACTATCAGAAGTACGGTATGTATAAATGTATGCGAATGCTGTAAATGCTAGTTTGCATCCATTCACCTAAAAAAAAAAGCGGGGATGCTCACAAGAATGGTAACTAACCATAAAACTACATTTCAAATTCCTCCTTGGCACAAATCAAGTTTGGAATTACAGTCTCCCTAAAATATATATTTATATTTCTAAATTGCCCATGCAATGAGTGATTAATGAAGATGTCTTGCTCATATGATCCCATGTACAAGTAGGAAATCAAATGAACTGTTGTGCTTTTCATGCATAAACACAGGACAAATAAGAGAATGAACGTGAATTTGGACACAAGTATCAAGCTATTACAACTTTCTGATCTCTTGTCCAGCACAATGTTAATACTCGATGCAAAGCCGTACTCTTGAAAGCACATTCAATCAAGCTTTGTCATGAGTTTTATACCATGTTTCAAGGATACAGTTGGGATAAAATACTGAAAGTCACACAGTGTCTTCAGATATAAGTTAGTTTTATAATCCCTTGTTAAACATCAGCTAAGAGTGAATACCACAATAGGAACTTGTAATGTAATGACTTCAGGTAAGTAACTGTTATGAATTTGACACAGAAATGGTGATGAGTTTTTCCTAAGGTCACATGTAACTCAGTAACTTTGAAAATGTTTCTCAGTCATAAACGTCACCATACCATCAAAAGAGGCACTAATCATCCAGTTTGAAATATAGTCTGCATAGAGGCAGAAGGGGGTAACTTTTGTAAGATGATAAGGGATAAATGATATATCATGTTTGAGCAAATTAGTTTATAATTGACAATGCCAGTAAGAAGTATGAATTGTCTGCCCATCATACAGCCAACCTTTGCATAGCATCATAGAAATTGTCTACCGGTAATAGCGAAGTGATCGATGGGCATTTTTGTGGATGTTAAAAACAAACCAATTCCTTTTGCATATCTCTTACATGACCAAGTATCAATTCCTTCCCTTCTCCAGTTGTTTGCTAATATCAGAAGACAGAACTTCTATGCAGACTGGAAATCATCTCTACAAAGTATGCCCAGTTTATAATACTATCTATGATAAGCTACATACCAAAATGCTGATGGCTGACGAGAATACAAGCAGTGCACATTTATAATGCACATCAAGGAAGAGAAGAGTATTATTGAAGATATATCTCATGGCACAAATGAGTGTCAGTCTGTAACAGCAGGTGAATCTCATTTGACCTGTACTGTAATGTGTCACTCTCAACAGCACATTAGATGTGTAATATATTGTCTGTTAGGAGCCAGAAGGGGTTTGAACATGCTTCAGGCTCTCAAGAGATGATATGAACTCATAATAGTACATTGGCACTTGAATTATAGACAATATCTGTCTTTGGTACACTAGTGGGCAGTGATATATATGAAGTCCTTGGAAGATTATTGATAATATAGTCCTTGATAAAATAGTCATTTATATTTGTAGAAATAAGCATGGTCTGGAGCCGTCATTTCTGATCTAACAACAAACTCAACCCAGTATCAAACCATGCAATCTCACAGATCATTGTTGAGGGTATCTTCATCCTGCCTAAATGCTCCTTCTGATATAAGCGGTAATCCGCCGCACAAAAGCCATGTTTTTTGTGACGTACCTAAATAGCAGCTAAATGCAATAGCGGTCCTGCACGTTTTGAGATATAAGATACAGAAATCTTATGCATATTAGACTTTACGTCATCATATCAAACTTGCTGCGGTTTTGCTGCTTCATAATCTGAACGAGGCCTTACCATCTAAGGCATAACAGGTCCTCAAAACATCTTCAGTCCCCTTCTCCCATCCAGCCTCACCCTCTCTCTCTTCTTCTGCTTATTTTAATTCCATTCACCATCTGAAAAAATTGACCTGTGTAGCTGTAAACAATACAAGGAAGAAGAGGATCCCTATCAGTAGCCAGACATCAGTCTTAGACAAACAAATGATATAATGGGGGTGAAAGATAACCTCACCATCAATGATATTCATATTATTTTCTTCCTCTTACCTTTTTCAGATCAGACACAAACTAAAAATGGACATTTAAACCAAGGTAGAACCTTAACGACCAATTATTATGCATAATGCATTCCAAAGCAAAAGTAGTGTGTGTGTGATACAAAGGGATGAATAGCTTGTCATCTACAAGTACAAACATCATCCTTCGGTTCATCTTATCAATGGAGTCTGGCTCCAGTCTGTTGCTATGGGAAACATATGGTCATCACCTCATCAACTGTGTCTCCATCCATTCCATTCATCTTCCTCCAGCATTTACAAGCCTTAATATCCTTCAAAACTCAAAATTAAAAAAAAATCTAAAAACAGACAGGATTCCAACCTAACCATCATCATTTATCCTTCTCTTCCTCATGTCTCTGACTTTTGCTTTAACCTTCAAAATGTCCTTTCTAATCACACAACCCCTCCAATCCTAGCTCGGTCTGACCAATGTCTCCATGCTATAGAGGGCGCCATTTGTTACTGCATCCGGGCTGGGTTCCGCTGCCTCTGTACCTTCATACCAAGATACAAGACCCTGGTTCACCAATTCTTTGTTCAGTGACTGCGACTGTGTGTGCAAAGAGAGAAACGCAAAAGAATATCATTTAGCACTTGGGCATGAAGAAGATTTGGACACAGTCATACTACTAGTACTTGGCAGAATGGTGTTAGGCTGTTAGCATGGGCATTCCTAAAAGTTTTAATATACAATAAACCTGTATATAAAGACTGCTCAAGAAAAGAAAAAAGGTCTTTACAGGTTCTTTGGATACATGTTTCCAAAGAGAAATGCATATCAAGGGAAATAAAATGTGCTCTTTATAGAAGATGATCGCCTAAGCAGGTTTCACTTTGTTAAGAATTACCCAACCCATGCCTTCTTTGTCAGACAACAAAAATGCTCCTAAAATACAAATTTAACATGGACCAACACTTTGAATCCACGGCTAACCCTCTCGGCAATTCTTCTTTCCCCCAAGATTGTGAAAACCATCAATGGTAATAAAGACAGCTAAAAAGCCCTACCTTGTTAACATATACGGTATAATACATTTGCTTACCTTGCCAAAGCTGTCAATAAAGAAGATTTCAATGAATGGGATACCATCTACAGAGTATCCCGAGATGGTTGCTTGCATTACACCAATACTCTGAGCTAGCTGCTCAATGAAGATCCTACAGGACTCACTGAAGTCAGCATCACCTGTATCAGATAGCAAGAGAGAAGGATGAAAACTCCTCTAGACTAAGTAGCTTTTGTACAACCTGCTGTACTGTCTGAAAAATCGTTCAAAGTTTTGATCAAACATACTGTAATCTTGAAGGAGATAAGGTAAATATGGCTCAAATTTTCCACTGATTAAAAGTTCCATTAACATGTAGTCGTACCCTTTACTTGAAGCACAACTGTCAATAGTTTCCCAAAATGATGAATGTCTTTACTATTACAGTATGTATTTTTCATGCAATAGGTAATATAAACAGACAGCACAATTCAATGGGAACAGCGAGCATTTTCCCTCTGGGAAGCTCAAATAGAGCTATGAAAGACTCAAAAGGAGCTAAACAGAAATGAGAAGAAGAAATACAAAAATGGCCTCATAGAAATCTTGTTTAGAAAGCCGAAAAAGCTTCTGGGAAAAAAAAAAAAAATTTCCCTCTAGATTATTATGGATGCCTGCTACTTCTTACTTTTATTTTTCCATGAACATAATAGTAATTCTACATGGAACCATGGTGAAAGCCTTCAACATCTCACTTTTATTTCCTTAAGAACAAAAACAAAATTTTTACACTGAAGTATAATGAACTCATGAACTTCTAACATTTGAGATTTTAGGTTATCACATCATCTTATGAACCTACTTGCCCTACTAAAGCTTAGATAAGACCGACTATAGAGTGATATGCCACTTTGGATGTCAATTCACGTTACGAACATCCAAATACTTGGTAAAGTTTGATGCATCATATGAGCAGATAAACCTTGGACTGCCCTGCCACTGAGCTGGACATCATGAAGCTTTCATTACCTGGGAGAGGAGCAATGTTACTCATGTAGCATTCTGTAGCCTGGAAGGGAAGCCCCAGGAAGTCTGATCTGATCTGTCTCAGGGCATAGGCCTCTACCCTGGCGTAGCCTCCATAGTCTAGGAATCGCACATCCACCTCATCGGTTTCATGAGTGACCTCAACGACCTGGGCTCGATACCAGCCGTCCATCACAGGTGCTGCACAGATTACACCATCTAAAGAGCAGAGAAAGCAAAGATACATCAAAGTTTAGGGCTATTTTACAAGCTTATAAAGTAGGCTACCTGGGCATCAGTTCAGGGAACCATCATAGGCACAAGTTCACTGACATCCCACTGAAATGCATATTAAATGTAACATACGTTTCAATGAGATGTCTGCAAAATTGTACTTCTGACAGTGTCGTGAAACGATACGCCTAGGAGATATATGACTTACAATCCTTTTAGGCAGGCTTAAAAAATCATTGGAGATGAATGCCTTACCAAAGACTAGTGCACATGGTATTTTTGTTTTTCAATTTTCTTTTTGAAACTCTAGATCTCCCAGCTGTAACAATCATTCTTTATTCAATAAGTTGTCATATCTCTATTTTTCCTATCAGTCACTTTCCCTCAAGAATGTTGTCGTTCCCCATAATCACAGCTGCAATACTATATGATGTGTTGCACAGTAGTTTCATAGCTTTACAGAGGTTCTTTATTTCTTTCCCATGTTAACTGTATCGTGAAAGACCATATAAAGGAATAAGCTATAAAATAATAGGATTCAGGCATTGTTTCATACCAGAATTTAAAAAGAATCAAGGCCAACTTGTAACCTGAAAATCGTGCAGAATGGAAGTTGTACATAACTGAGTCAATTTCCTCCAAAACAAGTTGCTTTTTATGATGTTTCATATATTAAATGCTGTGATGTAAAAGGGGCCTTACTCTCAATGGGTCTTGGGAGCTGTGGAGTCATATCAGCTTGCTGGTAGATCTGTGTCATGAGGTTGTCCTGAACATTAAGACCTTGATAGGTCTGGTGTACGGGTTGCTGAATGAAGATATGGCCTCCAGAAACAACACTGGAAATCAGGATACTGTTAGGCGTCTCTTCTGGTAAGTGAAGCTATAACAACAATCAACAAGAGACGCAATCATTAATGTTGGTACATCTATGTCATCAGGTTGTCCAAATGCTTGACAGGTCTGGATAAAGACCACACTTAAAATAAGGATGCTGTTTGGTATCCATTCTGTTAAGTGGAGCTAAAAGAACAAACGAGAAAAAATGTCACCATCGGTAGAAAATCAAATCAAAACACTGATAATGGATTTATTTGAAGAGCCTTACAGGGATGAGAAGCCGATGAGGACAGGACCTAATGATATCAACTTCAGGAGTACTTGTGGCTGAGGACAAATATTCTTGAAGTGGAATAAAAACACATTATGTAGACTGTGTGTAACACACAGCAAGAATTTGCAGGATAGTACAACTTTCTTATAAAACTCTTTCAGTATTGTTCAAGTTGGGCCAGTGATTGAGACAAGTATTGACTTTTAATGGCCTGGCTTACAACACTACTTGCCAACATTATGACAACATGACAGTATTGAATTGTGACCTTGATTTAACCTAGCACAGCTGCTGATCTGTAATGCAAACCAGGCACCAATCTGATTCAAGTGTTACAGACTGTGGTCTCAGGGTTCAACCACTGCTGACTGACTAATAGCAACCACAGAGAGACTCTTGTATCTTGGTGTGGTGTGGGTCAGCTGAGACACATGATATACCCATCCGCAGCAAGCTGGGCATACTATGGGCATTAGCTGGCCATTCGCTCTCTACGCTCAGTATTTGTTGGATGGATGCTATGGATGCACCTTCATTTGTTACTATGGACACTAGTTATACAATCAGAATTTGTTTCTCATTCGATGGGCACTCGTCTTATACCCCAGAGATTGATTGTAGTTGAGGGTATCTGGTCTTTGCCAAATTTCAAGGAAAAAAACTGTATGCTAGGGATGAGTTAGCTCTATGTGATAATATATGACAGGGGCTTTAGACAGGTTAGAACAGAATAAACAGTCCATTTCACTTTTAACATTATAGCATCCAGACTGATATTCTACTTCTGTTATACATCAGTCTCAACCAATATGTCCTGACCAACAACAAACCAAACCAAACTACCACAAATCCTGACTTCAATCTGAGTTCAGAAGAAAATGCAATAGCATTTAATTTGGACATTCAAACTTTAAAAATCTGAATGGTCCATTAGTCTGAATAGTCATATACTTTAGTTTCAAGGGATTTCAAGCTTCTTTGTAAAAGTACAAACTAAATCGGCTCAGAATCATAGTGATGTCAGACCATTTTTTGCGATTGTGTACAATTTGAAGCAGATTTTATACAGCTTTAAGTCCACCAAGAAAGCTCAAATGCACTAAAACTCGGGTTGTTAGTATTCTTAACATTATTCAGAAACTGAATTGGGAAGAAGATGCTTATTCAATTATATGAAAATCAGATAGCAAGAAGATGATGATATGTGTGCTAAGCATTCCAATGAATGATAGAGTGTGCTAACCTGTGTCATGTCTGGTGATTTATTCTTCTTTTGCTGCTGTGTATTGGCTCGTCTGCTAAGGTCCACACTAGGGAACTTCTTCTTGATATACGCCAGGGCTCCATCAACCTCCCCTCTCAAGCCTGCAGCAGAACAAACAATTACAGTGACCATGCTCATTTCTCAATTCAAATCCATAACACTTTTTAATATTCTTCATTTTTCATGTGTTTTTTTTTTGGGGGGGTGGGGACATTTTTAGCATGCACAAGTATGCTCCTACGTTGAAATTCTCTTCTTTTCTTTTTCACCTACCCTGAAAATGCTGCTTTGATTAGGCAAGGTATTTACATTCTTATTACTCCCAAAATGGATGATAAGGGAACATTTACCTTTCTCAGTATTATAAGTTGTTTCACAGAGATTCATTTTGAGATGCCTTGATTGCGCAATCACCTAGGCTAACAAATCCTCTACAAACATTACCAATCTGGAGATTTCCTAGAAAAGCTTTAAGATTTGAAGTACCAGGCTAAAGAAGTCAACATTTTACCCTTTCCTGCAGGGAACATGGAATTAGTGCCAGCAGAAGAAGAAAAAAAAACTCATTTTTGGCATGTTAAAGAGAAGGTTTAGTTCTGGGGAGAGGCGAAAAAATAATTTGAGCATTTTCAATATTGTTTTTACCTATGCAAGTGTGGAAAATCATCAGAGAAAAATAATGTTCCTTAAAGGTAAAGACCAGAATTGGAAACGCCCAAATTTCTAAAAATGAAATGGAAGCTCTTATTACCCATCATGTGAAAGAATATGTTTTGATTAATACATAATGATAAAAATTTTGCCGGGAAACCGCCTACTAATTGATATATTTGGTAAATTAGTATATCTATTGGTGTGTGAGAGATATAGGGTAGTCCCATATACATCTTTCTGTGTATAGTGCTTGTAACTTTACGAAGAATGGGCCAAATTTCTTGTCATTTTGATGATTCCAGAACCTTGCAGTACACACCAATACTTATATGCTAGATGATCAACCTTTTCTGATCGATTCCACAACATTTCTTTCACAATGCAATCGCATGACCATTATTGGTCTTTACCTTTAAAAAGCATGGCTCTTCAAATGCCTTCAAATTCTGAATATAATGACATGTAACAAATGAGGACCACATTATTATGCCACTTGTTTGTGTAGTCCCATATACATATTTCTGTGTACAGTGCTGTTACTTTTACCAAACCTAGGCCAAATTTCTTACCATTTTGATGATTCCAGAAACCTTGCACTACACACCTATACTTAGATGCTATATGATCAAATTTTTCTGATCGATTCCACATCATTTCTTTCACAATGCAATCGCATTACCAGAACTCAACTTTATCTTTAAGTGTTGAGTCCTCCAATTAGTGCAGTTTGTTCATGAAATGTCTACCAATGACTCCATAACTCCATTACTTTGGCTCAATGCACTTGATTTCAAACATGAAATACTTTTAAAGGAAATGGAAAGAATATTTAAAGAAGTGAATTATTTGAAAATAGTATACCCATATAGAACCAGTCTGCCTGCACCCACAAGTACATGTATCTGAGTGCTCATGACAACTCTCAGGACAAGACGAGTCTGTGGAATGATTTACATACCTTCTACAACACAGATCTGATGGCTGGTACTGTATGGGACATTCTTCAGTATGACCTTGGCTCCTGTCTTATCCTTCAACTCACGAATGTTCTTTCCCTGCAAATCAAACATTAGGTGATGTCAATATATGAACACGTACTGTACACTCAATTGGATTCAAGGTAATGCAAATAGAAGGATCCATAAATATTGCTATATTCCATTTTACGGCAATCCTAAATGAAATTGATTACCGGTAGACTTTGAGGTATAAAATCTAAATTTACATCCAGGACCCTGTCTTATTAAGAGTTGATATTAATTGCAAATATTTGTGATTGATGAGTTGACTTCCGATTGATCCAAATCAATCGCAACTCTTTATAAGACGGGGGCCAGGACTGGTAATATACTGGCAGATAATCTAAGCCATAATAATGGCTTGTGAATTGTCCACCTGCAATCCAAAATAAATTTTAGAGATATGTGTTCCTACCATTCCTTCTCAATTAAACATTATGAACTTGTGAATACTAACACTGTATCTCAAAACTTTGATTAAATTGAACACCTCTGGCATCCACAGGAAATGATATATATGCGTCCCAGAAAAAACGAAAAACAAATTGACAAAAGACTTAACTCCGTTTCGTTGACGATCAGCCATGCATTAAGTCTTTCGTCTATGGCTGAACGCCAACGAAACAGAGTTAAGTCTTTTTTCAATTCTGTTTGTTGCTACGGCAGGCAGCGAAAACGAATTTGTTTAATAAATTATGAAAATTCAAGCATTACTTTGTTATATCCAGCTCATTTTTCCTGATTGAGGTGTCATATGAAAGGGCAGAAAATGAACTTTCTAGAATCCAGTTATTACTTTAAACTTAAAATCCAGTGTAAAAATACCGTTCTATTCGCTGGACCTCTTATAATTATAGGATTTGGTGTTACATGTATATAAAAGCGATTTTCTCACAGAGATATTGAAGTATTTCATTGTTTCATAACAGAGCATATAAGGAGTTTTCAAGAGTTAAATGGCTATTGCTCCTTTTTTTCACTGGTTTGATCATTGTAAAATACATATTCCGTTTTACCACGTCCAATAGTAGCCCACAACTCACCGACTTTCCTATGAGTCTACCACATAGCTTTGAAGGGAATTCAAACTGATACATGACTGGTCCTTCCTTCATTGCCGATGCTTGAGTGATAGCAGCAGGGCTAGCACTAGCCCCAGAGTCTCTTGAGCCATGACCACTGTCTATCGATGAACCCTCGCTGTTCACCTCAGAGCTTACGTCATATCCAGTGGAGTTACTGCAATCAACAACAAAAAACAAACAAATTAATAAAATTATAATGGTCCTTAATTTCTTTATTCTTATGTAGTCTTTCCTATAAATTCTAAGCCCCATTACAAATTCTGGAATGATTTAATATTCCATCTGTTCAGGGTAAAAAGGGCATTAAGTCTGTGTTAACTGTACATTACAAGTGTAAATTGCACTAACAGAAGTACATGTTTGTATTGCCACTTTGCCAGAACTCCATATTTTTTCTTGCTCGACTATACTGGGCAAAAGACAGCAAATAACCCTGAATTTTCTGAAGCTGTCTCCCATAAATAGATGTCGTGCATAGAATTAAAGAATTTAAGTGAAGAAAAGATGGAAAAATAAAAATTTGCGCCTAACTCAGCAGAATTTGTTGACTTTCAAGTTGATGAATACATAGGTCAATCTTTCATTGCACTGATAATACTGATCTTGATTATTCAGACACTACTTTACAAACTTTGAACAAAATAGGAACACGTACATGAACTTGAAGTCAACCCCCATTTATTCCAAACCTATTCAGGGCTCTTTTCTTTAGATTGGAATGTGCTAGATGTACATCCATCATACTTAAGGTTGTCTTGATATGATGAAGTAAACTGTGGCAGTTAGCATGTATATGTTTCACATATCTATATCTTACAATTCACGGATTGTAAGATGTAATACGTGTACAGCCTTTTTGGCATGCGGCTACTTTGTTTCATTTCAACTTTACATTCACAAATGAAATAACCCAATGCGGTTTCCTGCATGTGGGAACAACCCCTTAACGTTGCTTTTTTATAATTCCAAAGTATTCCCATGTGATATCAAGGTATGGAAAAGCAGGAAAAGTCGTCTAATAACGGATGTTATATTAAAATATCTTGATCATGAAATCAAGATTCCAAGGGTTTCTCTGGAAAATTCCATGAATGATTAATGGATGTTTCACTTTCTCACAGTTCAAACGTGTACAGAGTGACTTCCCTTGAAAAATAAACTTAGCCTTGCTACTAGATATAATTAATTTGTCTTTGCCTTCATGAACCAGGGCAGTCTAGATTCAAGATGAGTCTATCTTTCACTAACTGACTGAAGTCTGTGATAAATCCTCCCTCCAATTATCAGGAAAAATTAAATTGTCCAGCCTGGTAGCAAAGCTAAGGTGAAGTGTACATAGATGTTTCATGAATGAAAGCTCACGTACACCAACAGAAAGTAGAGCATGACCTACTGTATGAGCCAAAGTTTTAACTCAATTGAGAATCCGGATATTAATGTTCAAATACAGACAGATGCAAACAAATTGTTCACCTGTTGGACTATCAGCTTACTATGCAAACAAAAACAGTCATTAAAGCTAGGATTATTGAGCTGTACTCCATTTTTACTCAACACTTACTCAACACTATATTTCCATAGGCCCTTAGCACTTTGTCTTAAAAAACATGGGTGTACATTTAGAAAAGTCTGGGGTGTTTTTTCTGCCGTAGTGAGAAATGTTATAAAGCAGTTCTAAACTTAATTTATTTTGTTTTTGTTGTTGTTGTTTGTATTACAAACTTCCATTTTGCATCCATTAGTTGTTGCTTAGTGAAAAGAATATTTTATAAACTCTCAATGCTGTAAATACATGTAGACAGTTTCATCCACAAAGCTTGCATTTAAAGGTAATGCAAAGTTTTGGGAAATTTAGAAAATTGGACGGAAAGTAATTCTTGAAAATGTTGATATATTTGGATGCCCCTGTGGATGTGCTATAAGCACTAGAAAATCTAGTCCATAAAACATTTCTGTTTTCGAGAAATTGAATAATAAAAAATTTACCGGTACCACCATTAAATTTCAAATATTTCAAAAAGCGTCTATAAAGCTATTCCATAGTAGCTCTGCAATCAGGAGAATCTCAAAACATGCAGTTCTAATATATAATTTCTAAACAGAAATAGCAAATCGGTCAATTGTAGTCAAGAAACATCGTTTTAAAGCTAAAGTAATATCAGTCTTGAGAGGGAGCTATACAATATATAGAGTTTATTATTTACAATTTCATCACTTTAGACTTTTTTTTAACCGCGACAACTATCATTGAATATTGTAAAATCACTTTATGCTTCCAACATGTTCATTTGAACCAAATTCATGACCCCATACCCAAACTTTGTATTACATGTACCGGTACCTTTAAATCTGGTTGATTTTTATTTGTGCAAGTGTACATTCAATTCAGTGGATTTGAATAATCTCCACTGTGAGAAAGTTTAATGGATTTAATGTCCTTAGATTGTTTGATATACATACATACAGTGTACATGTCTCCGACCACATTGACATGTGTATGCTATACACATTTTTAATACAGGTTGTACCAGTATGCCTGATCATAAAATGATTAGCTAAAGTTTACAAGCTTGTCTTTATCTTAAAGGTAAAGACCAGTTTTGGAAATGGAAGCTCTTGTTACCAATCATGTGAAAGAATATGTTTTGACTAATACGTAATGATACAAATTTTGCTGAGAAACCGCCTACTAATTGATGTATTTGGTAAAGTATTATATCTATTTGGACCTGATAGATATTGCGCACATGTCACGCACGTGTCGCGTGGTCCCATATACATCTTTCTGTGTACAGTGCTTATAACTTTACCAAGACTGGGCCAAATTTCTTATCATTTTGATGATTCCAGAACCTCGCAGTACACACCAATACGCTACATGATCAACCTTTTCTGAACGATTCCACAACGTTTCTTTCACAATGCAATCGCATGACCATAACTGGTCTTTATCTTTAAGATCACTGTTATTAATACATCACACAGATATCTTGATGAACCTTTATCTTTGCAAGATTAATGTCATATTGATATGTCTGAAATAATTGTTTTTGTTTCTCAACCAGATAATCACCCCCACTATAAATCATCCATCCTAAAATCACCACAAACCAAATAATGCAGTCATCATTAGTGCTGCTATCCGACAACGACCTAATTACTTCCCACTCAACAGTATCACCTCTCCTGCAAGCTGGAGAAGGGGGCTACATAACTGACATTAGCTCCACAGGCATGACCCCGAATGCGAAGGACATGCGCTTGTGCATTAGCTGCAGTTCTAGTGCAGCCATGCGAGATTCTACTGGGGTCTAACTTTGATGACTAGTCTTGAGCTGCAGACTCAACAATTTGAATATTCCATTTTTCTACTTCCACTTCATCTTCTCATCACTGGAGTAGTTATACAGTAGGCTCGTGGGTGCACCATGTGAGAGAGAGAGGATTGAGGAGTCCTGAAAAAGAACTCTCAGTAATCTTTCTTGAGGGTGTGTAGTCCTGAAAAGGACTGTTTGTGCAGTCTTGAAACACATTTTTAGAACGAACGAAAGGCACTTCGATGTTATTTCAAGGGCTTTGAATTATTTTGCTTCATCAAAATATCAAGGGTAAACCATTATGTTGTGGATATATTTTGACAATTAAATTAATGTCTATTATTAGTATTACGATTTAATTGTAATAGTCTGATCAACATTTTAGTTTTGTCTGTGGGACTTTCTTAACTTGCTCAGTCTTCAGTGGGTCATATTTCCACTTCCGTTTCTGAACGCACTCGGTACCACCCACCTACCGTCAACTGAAACGATATTCATTTATTTCTTAAAGCATCTTAATTTAATTCAACTGATTATTTTATTGTTTTGAAAGCAGTAACTGTCTTTTCCGTTCAGTATTAGAACAGCAACTTCGTCTAACTCCCAACGCTGCACGAACACGATTTTTAGTGTCAGTGCAGTGGTGACAATTTCGGGTACCCAGTCCCCGCCCGAAATTTTCAAGTCAAACCCGGGTTTGGCAAAACCTGTGATGACTCAGGCCTAATTTCAACTATCAAAAAGAAAGACCAGGGCATACCGATTTTCTCAAGAAAAAGACCAATAATGATTCAAATGTCATGCATACTTCTTGAACAAAAGTAACCCAAACAAGCCCAACATTGTGATAGGCATACCTAATATAGCATGGGTGGACTCCTTCCATACAAATCATCAAACAAATTTGAATAGTAAACAGGTCTATATGCCACATGTACATCTAGCTATGGACCCCATTTTTAAAAGTATATTTACCAGAGGTCTGGATATTTCAAATTTTCAAAAGGTCTATTTGGATACAGACTAGACTAGTGTATTTCAACTTGACAGTGAAATATTTAGACTGATGTACAAGAGTGGTAGAGATGATACAATTAGCCATAGGATATACTGCTACACCATGACTGTGATTCAGACTGCAGCATCTCAGCTAGCTCGACCAGCTCAACTTAGTCTTATTCATACTACAAACAGACCTTGCTATGCTTCATGCGCAGAGCCTGAGGAACTAAATACACTACAAGAATTATATGCCAGCAATGATTTCATGAAAAAGGGCACAAATCAGTCATGTCTAGCTTTGCAAAATCAAGGCAAGGCATTGTTCCTGGGTCTTTTTAAAAGGATAAATATAAACAATCATCCCACTGTACAGGCAACTGAAAATATATAAAGAGATGCACTGAAATGTCGCCCCCTATATTTTAACAACAAATCAGTATGAATTTGTATCTATAAGCATATGCGTGCAGTGCCAAGCCAGCCATTCCTTATCACGTTTACAATGTTGCCCATTGCCATTCATTTACACTTTAGTGGTTTAAATATTACTTTGGCAAGTTTTTTTTTTTTTTTTTTACCTTATTAGAAAAGAATATGGATTATGGAATGAAAAAAAAAAGAACATACATTTTCAATAGGATTGCCTCATACTTGTACCATATGTGAGACCTTTGCTAACGTTTGGCTCAATGACTCTTGTACCTTTCTGATCTTTATCAAATCAAAAGTATTTTTCACTCAGAGAGTGCAATCCAACCCTATCATATTAAGATTAATTTGTCTGAGATAGATTTGTCTGGTCTGAGTTTTAAGACTAAGTTCTTTTCATCTGATC